TTCTCGGCCTGGAGGGAGGTGGGCAGTGGGGTCCCGCAGGGTTCAGTCCTCGGACCGATTTTATTTAATATCTTCATCAGCAATTTGGACGAGGGCATGGAGAGCACCCTCTCCAAGTTGGCTGATGATACCAAGTTATGGGGCAAAGTTAGTACACCGAAGGGCAGGGAGCAGATTCAGGCTGACCTGGACAGGTTGGATCAATGGGCAGAGAGAAATAGGATGCAATTTAATGAAGATAAATGTAAGGTACTCCACATGGGAAAGAGGAACCCCCCCAGCACACCTATAGGTTGGGGAGTGTCCTTCTCAGCAGCTCAGAGGCAGAGAGGGATCTTGGAGTCATAATTGACTCCAAGATGAACATGAGCCGGCAGTTTAACAAGGCCATCAACAAGGCCAATCGCACCTTGTTGTGCATTAGCAGGTGCATGATCAAAGATCATAGATAATAGATCAAAGGAGGTGATGCTCCCACTCCATGCGGCACTAGTCAGGCCGCAGTTGGAGTACTGTGTCCAGTTTTGGGCACCACACTTCAAGAGGGATGCGGCGAATCTCAAGAGGGTCCAGAGGAGGGCCACTCGCATGATTAGTGGCCTTCGTGATAGACCGTACAGGGGGAGGTTGAGAGAGCTGAATCTCTTCAGCCTTCACAAGAGATGGCTAAGGGGAGATCTTGTGGCCACCTATAAATTTATTAGGGGAGGTCAACGGGGAATAGGAGAAGCGCTGTTTACTAAGGTGCCCCAGGGAGTGACTAGGAATAACGGGTGTAAATTAGTTGAGAGTGGATTTAGGTTAGATATTAGGAAGAAATTTTTCACAGTAAGGGTGGCCAAGATCTGGAATGGGCTTCCAAGAGAGGTGGTGCTATCACCTAGCTTGGAGGTCTTCAAGAAGAGGCTAGATAGTCACCTGGCTGGGGTCATCTGACCTCAGTCTTCTTTCCTGCCAGGGGCAGGGGGTCAGGCACGATGATCCATTGTGGTCCCTTCCGACTCTACAATCTATGAATCTATGAAACTCAGCAAGTGGCCCTCCAGCCGAAATAATTGCCCGCCCCTGAGCTAACCCATGTTGTTAAACAGTCCCAAGGTGCAGCTACCCCAAGTGAAGAAGCTCAGAAATCCCTCACCTCCCCAGCCAACCACTATGTTCTGACCAGGGGCACAACCAGGACCAAGCCATGCACAGAAAAGGATGCCATGGAGGTGGCTCCAGCAGCAGGCCTTGGTCCCAGAGGGGAGAAAAGAGACACACCACAGCAGGCTAACAAGGGCCAGCTCTGGCTGCACATCTCCCTTTGACTGGGCATAGCGAAGTGTCTGCAAGTATGAAACCCCACAGGAGCATTGGAAGTCAATCCATTCCCCATCTACTTCCACTTCCCCTAGAGAAGTCAATCCACTTCCCCTGGGGAAGTCAGTCCATACTGTCCCACCCTCTTTGATCCACTTACCAAGCTGAGCAACATCTGCCTCTGAACACATTTCTGGGCTTTCTTGGAAAACTCCCACAGAAGCAGCAGCAACAGCATGTATCCTAGGAGCAGGTTCTGGGCCCAGTAGAAGAACATGTCAGTATAGAGCTGCAGCGAGAGATGGATGCTGTGCAGCATGTCCCACTGTACCTTCCAGAAGCAGAAGTACTGGCTGAGCAGGCTCACATGCCTGGATGGTAGTGACAGGGAGAAGGGGCTCAACGTATCTCTCACCACCACCTTCAGCCAGCTTGCCACAGAGGTCACTGGCCCCTGCTCAGGGACCTTGTCTGGGGCCTGCTGTGGGGAAGAGAAAGAGTGACAAGCATAATGCCTCTAGGCTCCACTGCCCAGAGACCCATGGGACAGGCACCCTCACCTTCAGGAGACACCCACTGCCTCTAGAAAATTGGAGACATGGGCTCAACCTCAGGGGAACCTCGTACTCTGGGACCAAAAGGCCCAAGAGCCAGGGAACACCACTGCCTTTGGGCCAAAAGGAAAGATAGACTCATATAGTATCCACTACCTAGGGGACTGAGGGAAGAGACAAGCTGCTACAGGGGCATCCACTGACCTGGGACCAAGCAGAAATGTGACACCCCCCCGGGGAACCATTCCCTTGAGACCACCACAGCAGACCTGTGAGTAGATGGGTAACTGGGACACACAGCCCCTGGGAGCGACTATTTTTGGGAATAATTCAACGGTATTCCCCAGCCTCCCAGTTCTCCAACTCACCAGTGTGACCATTCTCACCAGGCACATTAAGGTTTCCCTGATGCCAGACATGAACCCTTGTGTGCCTATGATGAAGTCTCTAGTCCTCCAGCCCATGCAAGCAATGGCAACTCTGCAGGCTGAGGCCCTGAACTATGACATCACCCATCCAGGCAGCTATCTTAACACAAGGCAGACCCAATGGAGTTGCCATAGCCACCAGGCAGCACCCCTCCCCCACTTCTGGTTACTATGGTGATGCCAGAGTCACAGGCTTGTTACTGTAGAGATAATGCAGATGCAGACAATGGTTGTCACATAAATGAAGTAGCTGCAGTTCCCAGAGCTGAGGGGCCCCAGCTTTGTCTCCTGTTAGTTTCTGAGATACAGAATACTGCAGTTGTATATCTCACCCACTCCCTGAGCACAACCCCCACAGCTCCCATAGGCATTGTTTCAGCTTCATGTGCAAAACCTTTGGAGTTCCACACCTGGAAACTACAGATAAAATTCAGGCCTCACCAAATCCATTAGCAAATTCCCACTGACTTCAGTGGAGTCAGGAATTCCCTGAGATGCTTCAGAGCCTGTCAGATGGCCCAGCTTCATAAAGCAGGCCTGACAGTTGCAGAGTTAGCTGAACCCCTCGCTGGTCTTTGAAAGCACCCATTCAGGCTCAGACCTCCTGTCTTTACCTCTCCTGGGGGAAGCCCTGGAATTCCCTTGCTCTCAGACCAGGCCCTAGCACCCCAAGCACCCACCATGCCTCCCCAGCTGCTCCAGCTGGACTAGGACCTGGACTACCTGCAGCTCTTCCCTCCCGGAGGCTGTGCCCAGCGGTAAACACTACAGCCAGCTAGCCTGCTTAAACCAGAGTTGTTTATTTTGCAGTTAAAATAAATGCTCATGCGGACTCAATTATACAGCCACAACAGAGCTTATTCACTTCCTGTACAGGGACAAAATCTACCAGTATAAGAACATCCATGCTGAGGATCATACTGCTATAATTAGACTGGAAGGACTAAACTTCTTATGGTGCTACAACTTCTTATGCAAACATAAGGTTTATATTAACAAAATACTCCTAGGTCCAGTGGGAATGGCAGGGTAGTGTCTTTCGAAACACTTTGTATGCTTTCTTGTGGCACTCACTGTGCTTGCTGAAACTGGCCAGGGAAGAAGTGTACATGTTCCTGGGGTTTGCATGTTGTGCACATATGGCAGATATGGCTATTTGGACCACCTATCCAGCTCCTTCCTCTGAGTCATGTATGTTGGGGAAGGAAGAGCACCACCTGTGGCTTGGTCACAGAAGAAAGAAATACCATAAAGGTTAATTGTGGCTGAACACAGCATTCTCCCCAGGGAAGGAAATGGCACTAGCACTGCAGACAGCTGTCTACTATAACATGCTTATTGGAAAAAGCTTTCTTGTAGTATAACAAGCTTATAACAAACATTGTTTGCAGCAGGGATACAGCATTCAGCTGCCTGAACACCCTTAGGCTAGAGAAGGGCCTTGTCTTTGTCCCATGAAATTCCATTTAGCTTTTGCAAAACATATGAACACACTATCAACACTGCCTTTTTCTCCCTTGCATTCCTCAGAAGAACACTGTCAGTCTGCCCGAATTATAACTGAACATGAACTTTCTAGGGCCAGGTTCTGCCACTGCCAAAGTGGCATCACACACTGTACTGGAAACATCTGGCTCTGCTGGAACAGCTGTCATGCAAGGAGGGGGACCAGGAGGAAGAGACAGGCCAGGCTGGGATTCATCCTGTAAGATTCATCAAGTAGCCTGAGGACCCCACTCCCTTTGAGAGAGCAGTGTATAAAACAAGAGCATACCTGACTTGCAGAGTGAGCCAAGTGTGGGAAAGGACTGGCTTGGTTTGCCGCCAACCACCCCTCCAGGTCCCAGGGTGTCTCCCTCCCCGACAGGGCAGCCCACTGCCAGCCCGCTGGGTGGTTTGGTGACTTTTAGTACAGGTTTCCCTTCCTTTATGCTGTACGTGAGTTCCTAGAAAATGGTGCATAACTCAAATTGGCATAAAGGGGACCCACTTTACAATGTAACAAACAGGGATAGGTTCCAGGACCTTGACTGTACTGACCCCCAGACCTATTTCTACCACTTTTACAAGACAATTTTGGTACTCGCCAACAGCAGACAGTACACACAAGCACAGGGTGGTGGTGAATGTGGGGATGGCAACTACAGAAACACGTGTTGCAGACAACGAGCAAGAAGCACAGATCCAGGCAGACTGTATTTTGGTGTGCACCACTCCCACAGTGCACCGCACAAAGCAGCTGCCTGTGGGTTTCCACCGCAAAAATCGCATAAGTGAATTTACCTCGCACATAACAACATTTTGGTATAAAAAGGGTTATCGTGTAAGAACGTATTCGCACAAAAAGAACCCGCATAAAGCGAGGGAAACCTGTAGCCAGCATTCAAAGCGCCAAGCAGGGGCCGGCAGGGTCAGGTCCGGAGATGAGCGGGGCTGGAAACAAAAAGAAGCGTTCAGAAATCGGGGAGCAGGAACTCGGCATCGGCCTGACCCGCCTGAGCCACGCAGGAGCC